GAAAGCAAGCCACCGGATCTGGGACTCAAACTACAGCCGGGCATGTGGGAGTGTCCAGCACCTTAACCACCATGCCACCTGCTGGTCTCCCCCCCCAATTCATCAATTGATGAACATTTCAATTGTTTCTTTTTGGGGGCTATTATGAATAATGCTGCTATGAATACTTTCAGTCTACTCTTCATTTTATTAAATCGTTTCTCTTCAAAGACCTTTATTTTCCTTCCATGATACATACTGTACAAAATTCTCAGTATCTTAAGTCTAGCCATCTGTATTACTGTGCATATCTAATCTATAAAGCCCTACAGGTGAGTTTACACAACTGGTGAAACCACTTGGTGGAACTAAATATTCTCAAAATTCTTGATGCAAAACAGTTTTTCCAAAACCCAGTTAGGTCCCTCTGTTGTGACCGTTAGCCATTCTTCAGTATTTTACCATTTTCTAAAAATTTGTCACTTTGTTTTTCATTCTTAGCAGATGACTGTGTTTCTTCCTTCTGCTTGGTGGGAATGCGATTATTTTTTGTTTCTAATCTAGAAATTGAACAGAATTTGTTGTTACCTTGTTTATTTTCCCTTCCATTTGAATGATAAAAAGTACTTGTTTTCCCATGTAATTCCAAACCCTGTACCTCCTCAGCAGTTTGCTTTGGCCTTCTCTCTCCTTTCTGTTCTCTACTACCTTTTTACCTTAAATAAAGATGCTCAAATTTGTTTCTTACTAAGTTTGTTTCTTAGTAAAACAAAACAAGAACTGACAGTGAGGAAACCTCTCTGACAGGGAAGCACAGATCTCTGTGGAGAGTCACGATGTGCCAGTAACAGTTTGTACTAAGGTGATCCACGCGTTATCTTTCCCTCCTGTGGTTTTGGACCATTGTTACGTGTCATACAGAGGAAGACATGAAAGTTTGTTTATTTGTTTTTTTGGAGAGGTTTTTGCTGTAGGGCGCGTGTGCTCGCCAGAAAGACAGAGAGAGACAAAGAGATAGAAAGCGAGAAATCACCCCCTAGGGGGATGGCCACGCACCTTCCCTTCTCCTCCATTCTCCTCTTGGAATCTTGGGCACGCACGTACATGCGCCCAGCGTGAGTTTAAGCCGCCGGGCCCAGGACTTGAACTGCAGTCGACTATGTGGGAGTCCAGCGACATAGCCCTTATGCTAACTGCTGGTCCCAAAATGAAAGTTTGTTGAGGTTATGAAGCTTATGTAGATACGGTTAAGTATGGTAGCAATATTTAAACCTAAGCTAAGTATTTAAACCTAAGCAGAGTAAGCTGATGAATTTATTTCTAAATATAAAAAAGATGACCTGTATTGGCATTCTTGAGTCAAAATAACTCTACCTATTTCAGCAAAAATATTAGCACATTTTACTTTTCTTCTTAGTGTGTCTTGGATATTAATTACAGAGCTGTCTCATTTTTGTCATGGTTGAATTATATTATCTTGTATGGATATAACAACTTTGCTTATTTAGTTGCCTGTGATGGACACTTAGACTGCTAGTTGATTTTTTTTTTTTTTTTTGAGAGAGATTTTTTGCTATAGGGTGCATATGCTCATTGGAGAAACTGAGACAGAGACAGAAAGTGAGAAAGCACCCCCCAGGGAAGATAGCCATGGTGCAGTCCCTTCTCCTCCATTCTCCTCTTGGGATTTTGAGTACACATGCACATGTGCCTGGTGTGTTTTAAGCTGCTGGGTCTGGAACTCGAACTGCAGTCGGCTGTGTGGGAGTATGATATAACTGTTACACCATTTGTTGGTCCAAATACTGGGACTAGCAGGTAGTGTAGCGGTTAAAGTACTGGATTGTCACATGGCAGAACATGGTTTAAGTCCCAGACCCAGCAGCTTGAAAATCATGCCAGACTTGTTGTATGCATGCCCCAAATCCTGAGAGGAGATGGAAGAGAAAGAATTGAGGTATGGCCATCCCCACAGGAGATGATTTCTCATTTCTCTCTCTTCTCCGACCAGTGCATGCATCCTATGGCAAAACAAAACAAAACAAAACAAACAAATCTTAAAAAGAAATGATTGTATACCTTTTCTTATAATAAGGAAATTAGTCTTTTGTTCTTTCTTGGTAATATTGTTTTGACATATTGTTATTTGTCTTTTGACTAAATTTGCTATATTCTTTTTCATTATAGAAATGTTTTATTTTTTATATAATTGAATTTATTAATTTTTTAGAAGAGATTTTTGCTATAGGGCGCATGCACTCACTGGAGAGACAGAGAAAGACAGAGAGACCAGAAGCAAGAAATCATCCCCCAAGGGGAATGGGTATGCCACAATCCTTTCTCCATTCTCCTCTGAGAATTTTGGGCATGAATGCATATGTGCTTGGCTTGAGTTTTCAAACTCCCAGTCTGGGACTTGAACTGGAGTTCGAGTTGATGTAACCACTGGAGTCCAGTGATGTAAGCATTATGCCATCTGCTAATTCCATCAATTTCTTTTTCTGTGGCTTTAAAAATTTGCTTCTTTCTCAGAAAGGATTGTCCCATTTTGAGAGTATTTAAAAAGCAATACAAAACAAAACTGGAGGCCCGCGGGTGACAGGGAGATTAGGGCAGCTGGATCTCACATGGCTGACTGCACAGTTTGAGTCCCAGAGTCTGTGGCTTGAAAGTCACACTGTGTGCTCACATGCCCAAAATCGTAAGAGGAGAATGGAGGAGAGGGGATTACGATGTAGCCACCCTCCCTGGGAGGCCCCGAGGGGTGATTCCCCCACCCCATGTGAGTGTATGTACCGTATGGCAAACTAAAAGAAAACAAAAAGCAACCCCCCCCCATTTTTGTTGTTTCTTGATTTCATTGTTTATGTATATATCCTTATTGCATCTGAAATTGATTTGGGGATTTAGAATCCAGCGTAGTTAAGACTGAATTTTCCCACGTGGCTGACTGCAGTTCAAGTCCCAGACCTTGTGGCTTGAAAATCACAACAAATAAGTAGATGAACAAATACATAAATGGCCTTTTTTTTTTTTTTTCTAAGATGGTAAATTTAAAAAAGGGGGGGAATTTTGCCTATTCTACTTCCTCTCTTAGATAGACTTTAGTATATCAGAAGCCTTTAGTATATCAGTTGTCTTTTCCAGGGCTGATCCCCACAGTCCTGATTAGGTGTTCTTTTGTTCACTCATGTCTGGTTTTGTCCCAGCAGTAATGTTTGTTTTCTGTAGAATTTATGTGCTTGTCAATGGGTTAGAATTAGCGCTCCTTCAGAGCAGAGAGTTTTAGGTTTCTGTTCCTCTAGGACTTAGGGCAGCAGTTTAAGTTATACTCTAGAGATTCTTTAGGAGCTTTCTAAAGATTTTCTTGGCTCTTACCCTTGTCTTGGTATCCTCCTGCTGCACAACCCCCACCCCAGTCAGTACTTTCTCCTCCTCCATCTGGAGTAGCTCCATCCTACTGTTCCCTAATATTTGATGTTCATGCTAAATTTTGTTTAAAGGAAATGTTCTGTGTCTGAATGAGAAAGAAGGGGAAGGGGGCGAGGGAGGGAAGAGAGGAGGAGGGAATGAAAAGAAGAATGAAAGGGAGAGAAAGATAGAAGGAGAGAAGGGAGGAAGGAAGGCAGGCAGGCCCAGTTATGAAGCTTAGTGCAGTGCTTAGAATGCAGGCAGGGCAGGGCTGAATTAAGGTTTATGTGTGACTAGAGTGCTGGGCATTTGCTTTTCAACAATTTGAGTAGTTGACATGTAAATATTTTCTCAAAAATATTTAAAACCATACAGTTTCTGCTGTTATAGAGTCACAAACAAAATTATACAAAATTATAAGAATAGTTGAACATTATCTTTAAAATTCAGTATTTTGAAAATTCGAAAGTTGTTTATTAACTGTCAAGAACTATTGAGTACCGGGCCAGCAAGTGGCGTGGTGGATAAGGGCGCTGGATTCCCACATGACCAACCATGGTTCGAGTCTCAGAACTGGTGGCTTGCTTTCTCACTTTCCCTCTTTCACTCTCTCTCTCTCTCTCTCTCTCTCTTTGTCATTAAATTAATTAAAATAAATAAATAAATAAATAAAATGAATGAATAAATAAAATTAAATCTTTTAAAAAAAGAACTATTGAGTATGAGCAAAATTTTTTTGATATGTAATGTAAATGTAAAAAAATGTAAAAATAAATAAGTTAATTAATTAAAAAATTATTTATTTAGCAGTTTTACTCTTAGGTATCTACCCAAAGGATAGAAAAACCTAATATCCTAATGTGTGTGTATATATATATATATTGTGTGTGTGTGTATATATGTATGTGTATATATATATGTATATGTGTGTGTGTGTGTGTATATATATATATACATATATATATACCTACACATAATATTAAAGAATATGTATGTTTGAAATGCAAATTACAGAGATAAAAATTAAAATAAAATCACTATACCCTGTTTCTAAAACTATTAATGCCAAAACTATTTTCTTACATATCCTTCTAAAAAGAATTACATATAATAAAAATCATGTCAAGATAAAAAAAAAAAGAATGCAGGCATGGGCGCAGTACTTTTTAGAATAAGTGATTGATAATCAGTTCAGAAGTAATTAGCACGACTAAACCCCCCCATACCAGTTTACTCACCTTTCCTCTGAGGCACCACATTAAATAACTCTTTTTATCGTACTTCTTGTTTTTTTCTTTCTCTAGAGGCTGCTTAATTTTTGTGGAGTTCATTTATGGGACTGTATTTGGCTTGATAAAATTGATTTTTGCTGTTATTCTCAGACAGCCTTTGAGTCTTAGAAGGTCAGCTCCTTTGGCACAACTCTCCTGCGAGTTTTTCACTTTATAAGCCAAAGGAGAAGAGAATAGTTTCCTTTACTCTGCTTTGTGTTTATTGATGAAATGTGATTTATCCAAACCAGATTAACTCATGTGGCTATTGCCAGCACTTGCTGTTAAGTAATTGGTGAAATTATTTTCAGTCTGATGTGATTTTTTTTTTCTTTTCAGCTTGTGAAGCTTTGTATTGTGATGATTGATACAGGAAAAGCCTTTTGTGTTGCAAATAAACAGTTCATGAATGGCATTCGAGACCTGGCACAGTATTCTAGTAATGATGCTGTAGTTGAGGTTAGTATTATTAAAATTACAGTTAAAATGATAAATGTGGGGCCAGAAGGTGGCATGGTGGTTGAGATGCTGGACTCCAATGTGGCCAGCCACTGTCTGAGTCCCGGACCTAGCGGCTTGAAAATCACACCAGGTGCGTGTGTATGCGTGCCCAAATCCTGGGAGGAGAACGGATGGGAAGGGATTGTGGTGTGGCCATCCCTGGGGGATGATTTCTCACTTTCCCTCTCTTTGTCCCTGTGTTCCTCTCTCCAGCAAGTGTACACACACTGTGGCAAACAAAACAAAACAAAACAAAACAAAACCCCAACCCCCCAAAAAAAACCTTAAAAATAAGATAAATGCAACAAGGTGTTAATTATGTATCCATTTACCTTATTGATAGTAATAATTATACCTAAAGTTAGAAGTGGAAACTTACCACCTGTTGGTGCTATTGTGTATAATTCTATTCTCTTAGAGAGTTAGAAGTTGATGGCTGATTTGCATGGTGTATCACTGCCCTAACCCATCTTTTCATTGTTTTGGCCAATTTTTTTTAAGTTTACCTGCTGTTGGGTGAGCTGGACCATCAGCCAGTGCTTCTAAGTAGGGAGGATAAGATAATGCACACTAGTAGCTGCTCATGCTGGAGAAGAGAGAGCATTAACCTAAGCGCAGCGTATGACTGTGTGTCTGCGGGACTGTGCAGGTCTGGTCAGCAGCCATGCTGGCTTAGCAGATCCCTCCGTATATATGGCGTGGTCTTGTATTTCCTTGATGAGCAATAACGACTGGTGAAGAAGTGAGTGTGGTTTGACGATTACTTGATCCACAGATGCTTAAATGGTATGGTCTCAATACACCCAAACAATTTTACTTTTAGGTTTGTGCCATTTCTATTTGTTAGCATAACACTGTTGAAGGATAGTACTAATTCTTTGACTTTTCCAGGGTTTTGTATGCTATCACATGTACCCTGGACCTCTCTACAGAGCATGTTTGTGTAAAATGTTATTGTTATTGTCATGCTATTATTTACAATGTAACGATCTTTCCCTCAGAGATGCTGAAATAACATTTCTGTGACTTATTTTATCTGTTCTTAAATGACTTGGTTTTCTTTTCTTTCTTATAGACCAGTTTGACCAAGTTTTCAGACAGTCTTCAAGAAATGATAAATTTTCACACAGTAAGTGTCCGTAAGTGTTACTAAGACCATGTTATTATTTTAGTACTTTTCTGGGTGGAAGTATTTTATGAAAAGGACTAAAGTCATTTCAGTGGCTTTGATTGACTATCAGCTTTTTAATTGGATGGATCCAAAATGTATACCGATGTGTGTGCGTGTGTGTATGAGAAAGGATACACGTTTTATTTCCCTTTCTAACACACTGAGCTTAATACCACTGGAGTACATAAAAGTTGTTTTACTCTTTTAAGTTGTGACTTTGTGTTTTTAAGCATTTATTTAGCAATAAAATTTTTTGCCAAATTTAACAGTTTCTTTTAAGATACTTATGAATATATCTCTTTTATCTAATAAATTGCCAATATAAAAGACTGCTGTATTTTTTGAGCTATTTATGTGTATGTTGTAAGATTGGAGGGTATTTTTCCTTAAAGAATGAGGAATATATTTGGAATGTCACAAAAATATATTCTTAAGTTTTATAAAAGTTTACTGAAAATATGGTAGTTTGTAAGCCAGTCTTACATATTTAGAAAAGGTTAGTCGATATGGCTGTCATGTAATTATTTATCCGGTTCTTACAAATTTTTTAGCAGCTGTTTGTCACAAGAGTATCAACACATTTTTTTAAATAAAATCTAATTTGACTGTTAGTTATTTTAAATTTCTTAAAAGTTCTTTGTTTATCAGCATATTAAAAATGGCAGTATTTTAATTGTAGTTCACATTTTATATTTACCAAAATTGACATGTACATGTATCTGCTTGGTACCTATTTTCAATTCTTCATGATATATATCTGGGTGTGGAATTGCTTTATTATATGGTAATTCTGTGTTTAACCATTTGAGGACTGGCCAAAGTGTTTTCCACAGGGGCTACACTGTTTTATATTCCCATCAGCAATGTATCATTGTCAACACTTACTGTTACTTTCTTTTATTTATTTTACTAAAGAATTATGTATTTAGTTTTATTTATGATTTTTTAGTTTAACGAGAGAGAGAGAGAGAGAGAGAGAGAGAGAGAGAGAGGTAGAAAGAAAGCGAAAGCGAGAAAGCGAGAAAGCAAGCTGCCAGGTCTGGGACTTGAAACCCAGTCAGCCTTGTGGGAGTCTAGTGCCCTAAGCATCACACCACTGTTAGCTCTTTATTCTTTTATTATTTTTAAAATCAGTATTATAGCCATCATAGTAGGAGTGAAGTGGCATTTCATGGTAGTTTTGATTTGCATTTCCCTGATGACTAATGTCATTGAGCATCTTTCATGTGCCTCTTGGCCATTTGTATATCTTCTTGTGCTGTTGTTACTTACTGTTGTTGTCTTTTGAAATCCTTTGTAATTTCTTAACTGGGTTGCTTGTTTTTGTTGTGTTGTAGTTCTTTATTCTGGATATTAAACCCTTATCAATATATGAAATGAAAATATTTTCTTTCATTCTTTAGATTTTCTTTTTCATTTTTTTATAATGTCCCTTGATGCATAAAAGTTTTTTTTTTATGCATAAAAGTTTTAAATCTTAAGGATTCCGAAGTCCAGTTTACATAGTTTTCCTTTTGTTGCTTGTGCTTTTGACATCACATCTAAGAGACTCCATTACCATGTCTAAAGTCATGAAGATTTTCTGTTTTCTGCTAAGAGTTTTATGGTTTTAGCTCTAACATTTATACCAGTTTGTCCACTTACTGGTTTTCTTTTTGCCTTCTACTGAATTTGGATGCCAGTGTTCAATGTTAAATATGGTGAGGCAGTTGTAATGTAACTCTGTGATAGGGAGGCCACCTGGGAAGGTCCTGGGTTCATGATATATCACAGGATCTCTCTCTATATATTGCTTGTCCGTGATCCTGGATGGTTAAGGCTGGGGGTGGGTAGTGGCATGAAAACATATTGGCCTCCCTAACCCCTACTTGTCTTTCTTTCTTGCTCATGGATGAAATAAGTAAATGTAAAAAATTTAATATAGTAAGAATTAAAATTTTTTGGTATAAATTACTGATTTTAAACTAATATAGTAGATTAAATATTTCTTAATAACATATTTCTTATGATATATTTCTCTTAAACCATTAAGTCTTATATTATTGTTTTGTATAAGAATTCCTATGTGAAAAAATTCCTTGTTTTATATGTGAAAAATTATGGTTACAATAAATATTTGATGAATAAATTATTTAATTGTCTATTAAAAGCTTTCTTGTCAAGAAATCTTACTAGAAAGTATTTTATAAATCACTCTCTTCAAGTACTTAGATCTTGAAAAATTAGGTTGGATTAAAGTAAGATTTGCTTCAAGGGGATAGAGATTGTTCTGTTTATTGCTAGTGCTCTTACTATGTGCTTACTTTTCCTGAAACCCATGCAGATTCTACTAATGGGAGTTCTTTCCTTTCTAAAGTGGAAAGCAGTGTATTTTGGTCAATTTACTTAATGACTTTCATTTTTCAATTTGCTCTTCTATAAAAAGAGAATCATAGTATTTGTTATCCCTATATTTAAAGGTTTTGTGAGAAACAAAATAAATGAAAGTAGACTCTCTAGAGTGATGTTCCTTCATTAATCTTGTAGCCTTTTAGACCTGGCAGATTATAGGAGAATACTATGGAAGAGTGAGTGTGGAAGTAAGAACCAGCAGGCATTCGACAGTTGACATCTTTAAGGAAAACAAACTACCTAGGATATTTCTGACAGAAAAGTTTTAATACAGAGAATTGTGTGCAGGAGTGTTGCAAGGGTCGGAAGAATATAAAAGCTAAGGTGATGGGGTTTGGACAGTGGTGCAGCACTCACTCACTGCTCTGTGAGCCTGGCCCCACATGGACCATTGAGGTTTCTGGGTTTACATCCAGGGGCCTCACAGAGTACACTGGGCACATGCATCCCGTGATCCAGGAGGACCACAGCAGCAGGACTCTATTGGGAGGTACTGCCTGTCTTTCTGTCTCTCTTGCTCATAAAAATAAAAATAAAAAAAAAAAAGAAAAAGAAAAAGCTTATACGCTTAAAAATAAAACAAAAAAAACAAAGTGAGCATGGTACCCAGAGATCAGTAACCCTGGGAAGTAGCTGTCAGCTCTAGAACTGAGGAACAGAAGCAATGGGGTATTACCCGGGGCCCCTAAGACTGCCCTGAGGATCCTGCTGTCGTCACTCAGCCAGGATCTTGCCTTTTGTTGCTGCTGCCTGTGCCGTGGAGCCCACAGTTCCACTGGCCACCAGTGCTGCTGGTAGTTGGAGCGGCTTACAGGCTCCCTGAAGCTGTGTCCAAACAGAAGCTGGAAAAAAAAAATGTCTCTTTTTCTCTTGTCTCTTAATTTGACATCATCTTCTACTGACAGAACCTCATCTCTCAGCTCCTGTGGAGTTCTGAGAAATATACTTTGTAGGCTTTTAGCCCTGGCAGTATACAGGAGAATACTGTGAAAGAGTTGAGTGTGGAGATGAGAACCAACAGGCATACAACTAGTACACCAATTATGAAGGCTATAATTTTGAAAAAAAAAATTTCTTTTACTAGGGAAATTACTGTGTAACTAAGATTTTTATCCTTAAAACCTTTTGTTTTAGTTTTCTCTTTTCCATATGCTCAGTGTCCAACCCATTAGCAAAATGTACTCCAAACCCAATCATCAGTAGTTTCTCTTTCACCTCTTAAGTCAAAACAAATACATCTCTTATTTAGGCTTCTAAAAGAACCTTCCAGCTGTGTCTCTGACTTTCTTTTTGCTCTTTCATGATGAGTTCTGAAGACAGCAGCCAGAATGAACTTTTCAAGTTCATTAAAATCATAATTTTAGGGACCAACAGGTGGTGTGATTGTTACATTATTGGACTCCTATGTGGTTGACCGTGATTTGTGTCCCGGACCTGGTGGCTTAAAACTCATGCTGGGCGTGTATGCATGTGTGCCCAAAATCCCGAGAGGAGAATGGAGAAGGGATTGTGGTGTGGCCATCCCCTCAGTGGTGATTTCTTGCTTTCTGTCTCTCTGTCCGACGAGCACATGCACATATAGCAAAAATCTCTTTTAAAAAATAATTTTATGTAATAAATTATAGAATAAATTTTACATAATGAATTAATTCAAAGCACTCCCTTGGTCTAGTGGCTCCCCATTACACTCAGAATAATACTGTAACCATGGCTTGCCCTGTAACATATGTCCAGGCTCCTGCCTACAACTCCCTGACTCTTCTCTGCTCTTCACCTGGCTATAGCCACGGGATTCTTTGTTGTTCTTTGAAGGCACCAAAATAACGCTCAGCTCAAGGCCTTTGCTCTTGCTATCTGCTCTGCATGGAATGTTCTTCCTCCATATGTATATGCGGCTAGTTTCCCCTACAGTCTTAGTACTCCCTTACTTTATTTAGATTAGTATGTCTCACAGAGGCCTTCCATAACTACTCCGTGGTCACTATGATGGTTTCTTTTGTTAAAGTTTATTTATTTTTTATTCACCATCAAGAACATGTGCATGTGAAAGAGAGAAAAAAAGCACCCTCAATAGTCTTGTCACAACTGTGCTCCCCTTCCTTCAGCTTTCTTAATTCTCTTGGGCATATGTGTGTATACCTAGTATGTTTCAGATTGACTGGGTTGGGTATCTGAACCTGTGGTTGGCCATGTGACTTCCTTAACTGCAGTTCAGTATGCTACTGACTGCCCCAGGATGCTGGGCCCACTGGAGTGGTTTGAATGTGTCCCCCAAGAGTTCACATGTTGGGAGTTTAATACAACAACAGTGTTGTACTGGGATCCAGTGCAACACTCAACGTTGCACAAAACTATTGTATTGTGCAATACAATATTGTATTGGTTCCCAGTACAACAATGCTGAGTGGCGGGGCTTTTAAGAGGTGATTAGATCATGAGACCAGCAGTTAGCGTAATGGCTATGTTGCTGAACTCCCATGTAGTCGACCACAGTTCGAGTCCTGGACCTGATGGCTTGAACTCACGCTAGGTGCATGTGTGTGCTTGCCCAGGGTCCCAGGAGGAGA